GCCAAATCCATTAACTAATCTCAAAAGCAAATGGAAAGTCAGTGAACTATGTTGGTGCCCTTAACTCTAACCAGGCCTCTCACCTTCACAAACCTGTATTCTCTTGCTCCTCTGTGGCTGGTTACTTTAAGAAATAACTTCTTAGCAAAAAATTCTCTCCCCGATGGGAATGGCCACAAACATAAGTATAGGATATGAGAGGCCACATCTTTATATGACATCGGTCCCCTAGAAATAGCTGATTGTTCCAGAAGTAGATATCTGACCCAAACTGGACTATTCAATGATCTCTTATTAAAAGTTGAAATTCTAAACTGAGATGCACTAGAACTTGGAGGCCAATCACATTAATGGCAATAGCTATAAAGAACAATAACAAATCCCTGACGCATAGGAGACCCATCCTGCTTCTACTCTTTCCACATGTTGCTTATTGGGCTCCTTTCAATTCTGTAAGACTTCTAATTCCCTTCCAACTGCAGAGGTCAACTAGAGTCAATTCTTATGCATATAGACCAAGAAACCTTGACACATGTTCCTTGATACATGTCCACATAATTTCCCAACTCCTGTACCCAGTCTAACTATATTTCCCTGTGATCAAACAATCTGCTGAGAGATTAGTTGCTCATAAAGTTTAGTATGTTATCTACCCTCCAGAGAGGTAATAGTTTGGGGGGACTTGTGAAGATACAATGTTGGAATCCAGAGAATTTATGGCAGGGGTATTTCAGGACATACTGAACCATGATAATCCTGTAATGGAGATATTTGGACATACAGAGAATTATCATTAATGCCCCTCAAATTCCACCAAATATGGTTCCAAATCTGTCATTCACATAACCAAATTTACACAGCTAGTATATGACAAAGCCAAAATTTGAAATCAAATCTGACCATTTTCAAATTTCATATACTTTTGATACCATAGATGTTATCTGTTAATGCCTATTTTCATTCTTCCTTTAAATCAGTGCTTCTCACTACGTGTTGTGCTATATGTTGGGAAACTGAACTTCAATCAATCAATCAATCAATCAATGATTCTCAACTGGGGGCAATTTTCCACACACATGCCCAGAAGACTTTGAGCAATGTCTCAAGTCATTTTTGGTTGTTAAAACTGTGATGTGCAACTAGTATCCAGTGGGTAGAAGCCAGAGATGCTGCTAAATATCTTAAAATGCACAGAACGCACCAACGACATTAATTATATTTCCCAAAATTCCAAGGGTGCTGAGGTTGAAAAACTCTGCTTTAAATCAAACAAATAAATTTTCTGAAGAACGTTTGATTCAAATGTACAAAAAGAATTAAACAAAAATTCCATTCTATGCAAGATATTAGAGTTGTATGTAGTCACTTATTAAAAATTTATTGATGTAAAAACTATTTCTATTTTTAAATAGGAAAGGCATGCTTCATAACAGTTATGTATAATATGATCTTATTTTGTAAAAAAAAAACAGTCTATATATGCATGAACATGGGTTCATTTACATGTAGGAAGAGAACTGAAAAACTATAATACCTCTAAATTAGTAGTGTCTAGCACTAAAGAGAAGAGAGATTATTAAATGATTTGTTTTTCTCTTTTTTCCTTGAGATGCATTTCTAAATTAAAAGTTATTAGTTTTCATTTTAAGATATAACTCTACTTGTCAGCCTCATGCCTGACATCAGCTGGTTCAGATTGGTTCCTACTACCACATATCTTGCTTCACCCACCTACATACTCAAGAAAAGAAGCACTGTTTCATTAAAAGAGGCTCAGAAATGGCACCTTTGTTTATGAGGTTCTGGTGCATGTGTGAAAACATCCATTACATTCATTCAAGGCCTCATATTTCCCCAAACTTCTTTGCTTTGTACTTAGGTAACTTAGTCCTAATTCATGCTGTGACACCCCCACATCACTCTTCTTTCTGCTACTGAGTCAGTTCTTGTTAAGATCGACTTATTTCTGAATAAGCCTTAGATGAATGAAACATCTTTTACAGCTCCAACTCCTCCACTTATAGCACTTAACTGAGGGAATGGAAGAAGAATTTTAGAACCTAAAACTAAAAAAAAAAAAAAAAAATCATTAATGGAAACACATTTTTTCCCAAATAGTCCTAAGCACTCATAAAATTGACCCTCATATTCCTTCTAGATTTGTTTCATTCATCAAGCACAATAGCCATAATATATGTCTTCTTTCTATTCCTATCAAAGCCACAAGAAAGACGGATTTGATCTTCATTTGGGAAGTTAACTGACTAGGATGGGTCAGTCCAGAACTACTCTCTTTCAGGTGCTAGAGACAAACTCCTTTGCTATAGTTACATGCATTTTTAAAAATATAGACAACTGACTAGGGAAAACTCTCTTTTGGGGGCAAAGGAGCAACTTTTCAGTAGCTGAAAAGCATTTTTTATAATTTTCCTTATTTGTTCTGTGTTTGTTACTACTGCAAAGACATTTTAATAAAACTCAGAATAAAATAGAATGGCACATCAAATTAAATTATATTCCAAATAGTTCCTTCTCTTTCCCACAATACTTCCTCTGATCATTTGAATGCACTGTACATTCTCAAGACCTTGCCTCTAAACAAGGTCTTTCTTCCAGTTCCTGCACACCTCAGTAGAACATGTGTATGAGTGTGTGTGTAAAAATGTATGTATGAATATGTTTGTGTATGGGTATGAGTTTGTGTGTGTGTGTGTGTGTGTGTGTGTGCGCGCGCACGTGTGTTTATTCCGGATGAATGGAATAAGACATTTACTGAACATCTTAAAACTGAGGCTGGAAAATAATAGTAGATACTTTAAAAATATGTGTTGAATGAATGATCAATGAATAAACAAAGTCCATAGCATTTTAAATAAAACTTAAAAGTGATATATTGTCCTTCTTCTTGATAAGTTCATACCTTTGTAAGAGAGAGTACTTGCATCACCAACAACTATTCCTGAAAATTTGCACTATCTTCACCATTTCAATAAACACATTAATTGCTTGAATTGGAATCTTGCTTTTCCATGAAGGTATCAACACATTTGATGTGTTTTTGCTCCTGACAGAATGATTTTTTTAAAAAAAACTCTATCTCACTGAGAAATTAGTCTGCTAATACTTCTTTTTGATTATAAGTAATTAAGTATTCTATATAATCATGGGAAGGTATTACTTTTAGCTGAACTGAAAATAGAATTATAATGAAACAGAAAAAAAAGAAACAGAGATGATAGATTTCATTTTTAAATGATAAGAATGACTTATTGTTGAGTTAAACACAAGTTACTTTTACATGTAGTAAAATGCAAACTGTTTTAGCTCCCATACATGGCAATTTCTATAATTAAGTCTAATTAATTTATCTGGCAATTGTAATTAATAACCTCTGTCCTACTGTTTCAGGAAATTTCATCCACAAAAGGCATTGGTCAACTATTCATCACAAGTAATAAAAGCTTTCTTTCATGGAAAGATCTTTTAAAACAATTAGCAATTAATGAAAAGTATGCAAGTACCCAGAAATTGCAAATGCTCAATTTCAAATGATATGTTCCTTAGCTATCCCATCAGCAAAAGAAGCAGTTTAAAAAAATAAATAAATAAATAATAAATAAATAAATAAAAATAAAATAAAAAAGTAGTTTATTTTTTTAAAGATTGTATTTATTTATTCATGAGAGACACACACACAAAGAGAGAGGCAGAGACACAGGCAGAGGGGGAAGCAGGCACCATGCAGGGAGCCCGACGTGGGACTCAATCCCGGGTCTCCAGGATCAGGCCCTGGGCTGAAGGTGGCGCTAAACTGCTGAGCCACACAGGGCTGTCCCAAAAAGTAGTTTAAATCTAAAAACTGATTGGTAAGAAAAATTACAAGAAAGAAATTAATTACTCATGTGTAAAATTCAATATAAATGCTAGAAATGTAAATTAAAATAATAACATCACAAAACAAGTAGAGAAAGAATACATTAAGAGCGTGTAATAGAGTTTTATATTGACTATATTCAGTTTTGTCTCTAAACTCAAAGTGAATAGTTTATATATCTCATAATTTATATAATCTCATGCTCATATTTTATGTTTATCAGAGAAAAGTTGATCTATAGAAAATTTGCCTATATAAACTGCTCTATGTACTAAAATTAGATTTTTTATTTGATGAAATAATCATTTCTCAAGTACTGGAAATACTTCCCTATTATCAAAGTAATTTTCACCTCTATTAAAGGACCTTCTTAGGTTTGGATTACAAACATATGTTTGTATTATACCAGAAAATTTAACTGGATAATTTTTTAAAACTGAGTCACTATCTGAAAAGATAGTGATAGCATTGTGATAGATCTACATAGAAAACAATTTCTACTGTTCTCTCTGACTGTTTCTGCAGTATCCTGAGTCAAGACCTCCTGTTGACCAATTCTCACACCAGCTCTATTAGTCAGTTCTAAAGGGTTCCCTTCTGGTTCAAATCCATTAGCAATCCCTAAATTTCAACAAAAATAAAAATTAGGTGATGTTATTTGTCAGAAAATTACTCAACAAACCAGACTTTTGTTCAATGATGAATTATTTTCTGTGATGGATAATAGTTTGTCTAATATGCTACTCATTAAGATATACCTTGTATCTTAAATATTCTTGTATCTTGAATTTTATCTTATTCAGCTCATTTTGTCCATTCATCTTCACAGATCTGAGTTTAAAGCTGTTTTCCGGGATCCTTGGGTGGTGCAGCGGTTTAGTGCCTGCCTTTGGCCCAGGGCGCGATCCTGGAGACCCGGGATCGAATCCCACGTCGGGCTCCCGGTGCATGGAGCCTGTTTCTCCCTCTGCCTATGTCTCTGCCTCTCTCTTTCTCTCCATGTGACTATCATAAATAAATAAAAATTTAAAAAATGAGCTGTTTTCCCCCCTATATGGATAAGCATGTCATCTGTAATGAAGACTCTGTTAGGGTATTGTCACAGACATTTTTGTCTACCACATACCTCATCTTAGATGTCTGCTCTGTAATAGGTCTTCCTGACACTCCTCTGATGACAGAACATCAACCCACAGAGGAAAATGAGATTATCATTCCATGGACAAGCATCACTAACGGAAACTGTAGAAACCAAAACATGGAACACCAAGAATAAAAACAGTAAGAATAGTTTCACATGTTGTATATGACATGCAAAATATAGCATTTGTTCTTACTCTTATTAAAATGGAATATTTTCCTTCACTTGATCAATGCTAATGAGCTATAGTTAAGCCACAATCTTTTGTGACATGTGACATGTCTCTCAATAAAAGGAAAAGTATATCATAAGCCTACTTCTTAGCTGTGACATGCTGTCTAGGCTCTGGTATGCCTCAAGTTGGAAAATATGCCTTTCCCTTCACAAAGAGAAATACCACATGCCACAAAGACTGTGAACCCTGTAGGGGTACTAACTCATGGTTTTCTGAAACTGTAAACTACCTGTTTTTAAATCATATGTTATTAATATATTTTTATTCAATTTTCTTTATTTAATTTTTTAAAAGGCATCCTTCTAATAGCAATTTATTTAGTGTTGGGATAATTCCAAATAACTGCTATTTCTTTGACTACGATATTTTATTTTTAAATCTCAGGTAACATGTCCTTGAGGTGAATTGCTACAGCTCTCTAGCTATCTTCAGACTTTAGACTGAATATCTAAAGCAGTGATTCTCAAACTTGTCTTCACATTACAATCATGTACGAGATTCAAAAATTTACCAATGCCTATCTTCCACCCCAGAGATTGAAGATTAACTGGTCCCAATGCGACCAGAGCTTAGAAATTTTTAATATATGCTAAGATTATTCTAACATCCAACTAACTTCAGAAATCACTGGTCTATAGGAATATTGATTAACATACCATCATGTGGATATTAGATAATATTTACTATCATCATTGTCTGAAAAAGTCAGAGAATGATAATCAGACTAATTAACCTTACCAGTAATTGTTACCACATATTAAAATACCAAGCATTTTACCAACATTTTATCTAATCTTCACAACATTCTAGCAAGATAGATATTATTATTCTTACTTCACACATGGGGGAACTAAAGGTCAGAAAGTTTAGGTTGTTTGCCCAATGCCATCAACTAATAAATGGTAGGGCTAGTATTTGAATCCATGTCTGTTTGACACTAAAAGACTTATTCTTTCCACTATGCTGTAATTTTCAGTAGAGGTGATATCACCTCCAAGGAAGTAAAAATCAAAGGAAGTGAAGATCAAAAGATTCTTAGATACTATAACGGGTTTTGGCTCTCCAAATTTCAACTTCACTGATGAAATTTTATTCTTTAATATTTAATTTCTCTTACTGAAAAAAAATTAAATTTAATTTTATTTTTCTACTTAGGATGTTAAGAATGAAAAAAAAAAATTGAGAAACACTATACTATACCATACTCTGCCTCCAACTATTTTGGTTAACAATTAGTTAACATGTATATTACTCACATACCACATACATATTATCTACTTATCTACATTATATAGAATACCTGTAGAGAAAATGGCTCTCCCCTCAATTTTATAATTCCCAAGTTGTACTTATAATTGAAAAGAACCACAGTATAAACAAAAATATATATGTTATAGGTACCCAAGATGCTAATGATAGGAGAGGAAGTAGTAAGTCCAAAGAGTATTATCAATCAGTCTTCATGAATGTCTGTTATATATTATATACAGCATTATAACAGTAGGTTGTTGGTTCAAAAACTTAAGAATTTCCTGGGTGAAATCTGAAACTGGCCCAGTGCGTGAAAGGTAAGCAGAGACACTGCCTCTCTCTCTGTGTGTGTGTGTGACTATCATAAATAAATTTAAAAAAAAAAATTAAAAAAAAAAAAGAAAGGTAAGCAGAGACAAAAGAAAAAGTCAGACCACTCCAGATTGGTAGGTGGCAGGTTCAGCAAGGGAACTTATAAGGCTTATCTTGGGTGGCCACAAGATGAGTACATCTCTACAGCCACCCACTAGAATCTTAAAAGTTTATATAGAGGTCTTAACTAGATTCAGTCACATAGTCCATCCTGATGGTCTCAACAACACATTACTTTCTCAAGGCTGTTTCCTTGAGGCAGCCTCTGATTCAGGGAAGGCAGGCAGAACACATATTTCAAGTATATGGGAAAGGGTGAGAAGTCTCCAAGAGCCTGGGCCCAACTTGAGGGTCAACTGGTGGTCATGTCCTCTTGATGACCTCCTTCAACATAGGTATTTAATAGGGGTACCTGGGGGGCTCAGTTGGCTAAGCTTCTGCCTTCAGCTCAGGTCATGATCCCAGGATCCTGGGATCCAGCCTAGCATTGGGTATATAATAGGTATATAATAGAGTAAGCTTTCTCTGATATGACATGGTTATATGCTAAATTATTTCAAAGTTTAAACATCTAGAGTCAAGAATCAAATCATTCAACTTTGTATCTCCTATAGCACTGGGTGTCATATAAACTAGTCAATCAACAAATATGTGTGAAATTAAAAAGAAAATGGGATTTCCATCACCATACCATCACACAATCTGATACACACAATAATAAAACAATTTTAAGCAAATTTTAATTAGTCTTTATTGGTTCAGAAGACTTTTTTACTTTCTTTAGAATAATTCATTTTAATACATTTATATTCTATAACAGAAGAAAGTGTAGCACAGAAAGAGTATCAAACTTTAACTTAATATCTTCTCTTAAAAACTATTAATTTGATTTACCAAGCTGTCACCACACCCCTATGGATAACACATAAAGAGGCATTTGAGGATAGTGGCAAGTGCTCAAATACTGAACTCACTTTGGCTGAAGTCAATGATAAAGGCTACCATACAGCCACCTGAAAGGGCGCCTTTGGGAAAATATATCCTAATTTAAGCCAAAGAGTCAATAACATATATATGCTCATATTAAGGAAACATAGAAAGAAATTGAAATCAATCAGAAATATGGTGTCATAATGCTTATTTGCCCAAGGGAAAAAGGGCTTTAAATGATTTCCTCAAAGGAGTTATTGCTTTAAGAACTAACAATCTAATAATCAAGGAGGACTCCCTTGTGAGGAGCATTCTAGAAAAATACTCTGAGGCTTCCAGCTAGTGCAACAAAAAATATTTGAGAATGTTCCTGGGGGGCAATGACACCAAAAGAGGAGTCATTGTAAGCTATTAGCTGGGAGTTGCTATCCACACCCATGGCCAGTCAACTGTACAGAAGAACAGAATTGAGATAGAAGAGAAAATCCAAGAGGAGCTATCTCTAACCCTTCATGCAGCTAGAGCATCTTTTGTTATTCTTCTGAGAAGAAAATTAGGTCTACCAGAAAACAAAACAAAACAAAAAACAAAAACTAGTTAAATTTGCATTACAGAATTCAAGCCAGTTATTTAGACTCAGAAGGGTAAATTAGAATTCCTATCCCTCGCCTCAAGGGAGTCTGCCCCATCAAAGGAGCTATATGAAGTGGTATCCATAATAATAATAATAACAACAACAATAATAACAATGATAGTATATAACATTTATTGAACATTTGCTGTACGTAAGTCACCATGTTTGGTGTTTATATTCATTTTTTCACTTAAAACTTTCAAAAATCTACTAAGAATTTTTTCTTCTTATATATAAAGAAGTCTAGAGAGTTTAGATCTATATAATGCTAGAAAACAGAATTTGCTTTGAGTTTTCTTGAGTTATAAGCCAGTACTTGAACTTGCAAACAATTCTCTCACAACAACACTCTTTTTCTAACAGCTATTGGTGTTATAGAGAACTTTTGCTTCTTTTGTTAGGGGCAGAAACCTAACTCAAACAGGTAAAGCATAGATCCTATTGAAATGCAGATTCTGATTCAGAAGGCCTGGGGCAAGGCCTGAGGTCCTACATATCTAGCAAATTCCTAGGTGATGTCAAAGACCACACTTTAAGTAGCAAAGCACTAACCTTTCTATGCATTGCCCACATGTTTAATGTGGTAGATGCTCTAAAGCTTAGGACTCACCAACAGGAATGAAGGCAATCTTGCAGGCTTGTCTGAGTATGATGCCTTCTCAGGACCAGCTGTGTCCCCGCCGCAACACTGAAATAGCAGAGGTGTTGCACGTCAAGATCGAGACATATTGGCAGAACTCTGTGATAAAAACACTTTACAATTTCATAGCACCTTTCATTCCAAAGTGTTTCAGAAGCTATATACATTCAGCACCACAGAAAGATGATAGAGGCAGCAGTCTCCATGGGGTGAAGGAGGTGTCAAGGGATGGAGTGGGAGTGGAGGAATAAGTAAGCCAAGGACAGTGGGACATTTCTCTATTAAAGGCAACACAACACCAAAACATTTCCAATGGGAAATAAATCTTAAGGTCCATGTTCAAAGAATGATAATGTATAGGTTAATGTTCAGAATCATTTTCATAGGATCATCTTCTTTCAATAAATTGCCTATCATATGGGTATTCTGTGAGCACAGAGAAAAAGAAAAGAAAATCAGAAATGAGCTAAACAAACAAGAATATTAAAGATATCAGGAAATCTGTAAGGTCTGAATCCAATAACTCCAACTTGTATAGACTATCTCAGAATTCTTAATTAAACAATCAAGTCCTAAAATCTTAGAGGACAGCTTTCCATAATATATTCTCTGGTATGGGAAGTAGCTTTTTGTTTGCAGAGCATTTAGTAAAGAAATGAGTTTTCTAAGTATTACAAAATGTAAACATCTAACTTAACCTTAATGTACCTGGATGACAATGTGGATAGTTTGTATATATTCTGGAAAGGAGGGGAAAAAAGGTCATTTTATGACAGAAGTTGGAAATGGAACTTTTTAATGACTCCTAGAGTGTTTGCCTTTAAAAGAAATCCATTTTCTAGCGCTGCTGTTTCCTATTTGTTACCAGGGACTCTTGGGGGCTTCCAGTGTTGGAAAGAGTTCTATTTTCACTTCTGCTGGCTCCTGTGACTACATCCAGATGATAAATGAGGACCCACAAGCTCCCACAAGAGTTTCAAAGAGTCTGTTCTCCAGGCATTCTGTGGCTACCTGCCAGAGAAGCACATACCAAATTAAAAGGGCGAGGAGAGAAATTCCTTGGTATTTCATATTTCCTGGGGTTTCCAATGAACTCATTGCATTGGTCTTCTCTGTGAAATATTTTAGTAAATGTGCTTATTTATGAACATTCACAAAAACCTCAAGATAACAAGGAAAAAGAGAACAGGGATTCTTAGACCAGAAATCCATCTTACCACTCTTTTTTATTCGCTATCCTCCTGTCTTTTCTCCTCCCACTTTCACTTGAAACAAGGTGGTGAAAACTTTCCTCACCAGCAGATAACAGTGGTCACTCCATCAGGAGAATGTAATCTTGAATCAGAGTTACTGTTTTGTCAGAGAAAAAATCATGCTACTCATATCCCACAAACATGTTTCCTTTAGGAAAAATCATTAAAATAGCCTGTTACTCTTGTGCCCTCACACTGTAATTCTAGGCCACAGGCAAAGTTCCGCTCAAAGGCCTATTTTTATAAATGATGAAAAGTAATGGATGCTTCTGGTTATCTCTCAGAATTTTGTCAGTTTCACAACTAGAAATGATGCTGCCAGGCTCACTCCAAAGGAAGCTGGTGGTGAAGTGTAGGCTTCAGATAAGGATTTACACTGAGACTCTAGCTCCAGAAACTGCACAAAAGATTATAGATATGAGACAGGCAAAAAGAAAGGTGCAGTCATAAAATTAGGTATTGCAATCATGCAGATAAATGAGTATGTTCCATTTTGATTTGCTGTGTATTTGACAGTAGTGCAGAAACAAAACTGATTATACACCTTATGAATTATAATAATCTAAGGCCAGCTTGGAATAGCAATATAAAAAGAAAGGAAAGTTAAATGGCATATTTTAAGCAATGAAGTCTTTGGAATTATATCCTTTTTTGACTTACTGATAGTCCATTTATTTTTCAAAGATTTAAGTTGGCTCAACATTTAATTAATGTCAACTACATAAATATGAATTGAGGGCTTACTTCATCCAGGCACAGTTCTAGGAATTGGGGATTCTTAGCAATCAAGACAAATATGCTTTTGCCTCTCAAAGTTTACTGTCAAACACTTCAGTCTGGTTGAGTATGAAGAATATAATTGTCCCAGTATGAGCTACTGCAACTATAACAATACTATTGAGACCTTTATGATCCTTTCATCTCATCTACTACTTTTTAAACACATATTTATTGAGTGGAAATGTTTATCTTTAACACAAAATTTGCCATATGAGTCTGTAAAATCTGTAAAATCTAACAAGTTTTCTTCTGCTGTCTGAGTCCATACTCATTAAAGACATCTTAACATGGATAATAAACATATTCAGAGCTCAGAGGAACAGTTTAGTATAACTGAAATTAACTCCAAAAACACCTACTGACTGTCTCTGAAGTTTAAAGCATATTATATGCCCCCTCCTAAAAGGAACACAAAACCAGTTAAGACATGGTGCCCACTCTTAGGCTATTTTGATGACGTTCAGGAAATATTTACATGAAGAACAGGAATAGAAAGTAGAATGAGGTGGACACTATAACATAGATTTAAACCTATGCTCTAGGTATATGTGGTATCAAAGGTTATCTTTAGCTAAGACAGCTGGAGACCTCTACAGAAGCTGTAATTGCAAGAATGCCATAAAGAATGAATTAATCTCCTCAGGCACACTGGGTGAGGGCAGAAGAGTACAATGGTTAAAAATTGGCAACACACAGTGATGGTCAGAATTCTGGCACTCTTTGTTACTACTTACTTATATGACTTGGTCTAGTCTCTCATCTATGAACAAGTATAATGTAAGAGTATATCATAAAGAAATGCCTGAGTGCCTCCGTGGTTGAGACTTCCACTCGGGGCATGATCCTGAAGTTCCAGGATTGAGTCCCACATCAGCCTCCTTGCATGGAGCCTACTTCTCTCTCTGTCTGCCTATGTCCTGTCTCTCTCTGTCTCACATGAATAAACAAATAAATAAATAATCTTTTTTAAAAAAAAGTATATCATAAGGATGCTATAAATATTAAATACAATGATTCATGTAAAGTACTTTACACTGTACCTGTTACATTAAAGCTCAATAAATATTAGTTTCTATTATTATTATAGAGTAAGAGTAAAGGAAGAGAAGCAGGAAAGTATAGATTATGCTTAAGGAATAGCTGAAGAGGTACATGCAGGGCTGATTGAAAAACAGACCTTGAGAGATAGATTATTGAGGGCCTCAAAATACAAGAAAAGTAACATGGCATTTATTATGTAAGCAATAAAAAAACACCCAAGAATTGGGCATAAAGGAGTAAGTGACATAACCAAACAATAATTAAATTGCATTTCACTCTTACAAATTTTAATTTATTTCTAAAGCCTTTTTAAGATGAATAGCTGTACAAGATCAGGATTTTGAGTAGGCTAATAATAACTACTATTCACAGAGCACTTAACATACAAAACATTTTGCTTAGTACTCTGCATATTTTTTTTAATCTTTACCCCCAAAAAATAAAAATATAAGAGAAGAAAAACTAAGGCTCAAAGAGGTTTTTAAAAAGCCCAGGGTCACACAACTAAAAGAAAAGTAAATATTATGAAATAATAAGTCCTTCAACAAACTTAATAGCATGGCCCTGGTTTGTTCTATCCTAATACACATCACACATCATTTTATTTGTCTGCTTAATTGTCTGCTACCCCCACTAAAGTGAAAGTTCCTTGAATTGAGGATTGCACATCAGTCACTATTATGATTTAGGCAATTAACAACCATGTTGTGAATAAATAAGTAAATGGATAAATGTAATTTTATGACAAGGAAGGCAAGGAAGGTAGCGCCAAGGGCTCGTTGCTAACTGTTGTAGAAGGCCCTGGACTCTGCGTCTGCGCCGAGACCACCTCCTCCTCCTCCAGCAAGGAGATGCACATAGCCCTCTCCACTATACTAGTTTGGCCGGCTCCCAACAATGTCAGCCACTATTTGAGAGAAGAGGAATGTTTATATTTTTGAGTCCATATAGTTAAAATCCAAGATCGAGAAGGAAATTCTATATTCCTGTGATTACCAAATTAGAGTCAGTTAAACATAAAAAGATGAAACTGTCATATTTTTTCCCATTGTTTTACTCATACAGATGTTCTTAAGGCTGACATTCCTGGTATCGTATTATGATTGAATGCATCTAAATTGTAATAATTTAAAATTGACAAATGTAATCTTCATAGATTTACAAAACTGTTATTAAAAGCTTCTTGAAGAATCTAGATTTCTATTATTTATTTTCTTTTCAACTAGTAAGGATTTCTATGTAAATGTAATGGAAAATCTTTAATCTTAATAAAGTATCTTCCAATTGCATGTAAAAAAATGACAGAATTTTCCTTAAATGGCATATTTATAAGCTTCATCTGACTTATTGCAAGCCTGCTAGAGCTGTTTCTAGAATATATGTACCGTTTATATTTTCAATTTTTAAACTTCATAATACAGAATAATTTTAGGAATTTTTCTGGTCTCATTAATGTAGTAGACCCTTTAAAATATAACAAAACAAGACTTTCAGAGTATTTGTTAGTGCGTCTTGTATTTGTGCCATCAACAAGTTCATGTTTTTTGGTTAAATAATTTACATTATTCTAGACAAGGGAAGCTTCATATTTCTATTCTTTGAGTAATCTTTTCCACGTAAAGGAAAAAAGTTATTTCTTAAAACTAGACTACATGTAGAGTCCTCTAGAGTCAATTTGACCCATATTCAGCCCACTCAAAGAAGAAAAAATACAAAACAAAAATAGAAACATGAAACACAATAACTCTAAAAATGGGCAATCAATAAAGTTAAAAAGAATACAAACACGTCAAATCATTTAAGTATGGGTTTTGTCTGGCTGACTGATGTTAATTCTCTGGCTCTAAACTAACATGACATAAACAGAAGTTTTACTGTCATTTCTTCAATACATTGAAACTGATACTATCTGTTAAACATTACTATGGATAATCTTAAATGGTTTGCAATTTAAAGGAGGAAAGCCCATAAGACATTTGATTTTTCCAGAAGATTTGCAACCCAAATAG